TCCTATATTTTCTGTCAGGCTGGAAGGTCAATCAAGAGTTGATTCCATCAGTGGCAACAGCACTCATTCATTACTCCATCTGCCTACACAACCAACCATCCAGGTTAGATTAGTACTGGAATGGCCCAGTTGATGTTTCAGTCTGTAATATTTCTGTCCTGTGTGATATGTCGTTTCCTTCAAATTGCTTCACGGTAGCATTTCTGAAGTTCTCACAAATTATTAATAATTATATTATCCTTGCTGTCAAGGATCCATGCAGTGGTCAATAAAAACAACAAAATCTAGGCTTTCAAAGAACAACCTGGAAGTGCTGGAAAGATCAGTGGTATTCTGAACTAATTTGAGTGTTTTGACCAGATATATAGGAAGGTCAAACCAGTGTAATACAGATGTGAAGAACGGTATGACATTAAGTGCTTGAATGTTTTATAATTCCTTGCATTTTTAATACCTTGCAAGAATAATTTAATGATTGTTAATTAAAACTCAAGGGAAGGTAGGTATAAAATTAATTTTAAAAATTAGCTTTCGTGGAGGTATATTTTTACTAACATGATTTTGAACAATTTTGAACTACCTTGCCTCAAAGATCAAATAAATGTGCTTGAACCATGTCTCAGACTCTCGCTTTGCCCTCTTGCTACATGGAAGACATGGTGTCCAGGGACTGGAAAGTGTTTGTTCAGCCAGTTTATTTTATTTCATTAATTGGTCTTATTGTATTTGAAAGGGCTGTTTGTTCAATGAGATGTTCTTGCTCATACACCTTCACTGTTTGACAGACAAAACCAGCAAGCCCCAAATTTGCCATACAGTATGATGTTTGCTTTTCCCAGCATGCTGTGGGAGTTCAGCTCACATGTAAACTTGTTGAAAAAAGTTTCCTTAATAAATTCTTATCTTTGAACATGAACTAAAATTTGGAAACTTGGTATGGCTTATTTCCCTTTGCAATTCAACTCGTATTTCAGAGGAGGAGCAGTCCTGTAAAAGCAATATATTACAAGAATTCTGGCTGTGTTTTCTAGTGGCAGTCATGAAATTGTTAACTGAAGCATCTTTCAGGCCACCATATGGGTCTGCAGTGTATTTTCACTGTGCACAGATTTCTAACAAAAAGCCTATTGTCTAGGACTATAGTTTACCTGGAGAGGAATAATTCTGTGTCTGAAACCTTTCTCATCTCTGGTTACCAGAGTTGTCAGCTGGCCGTGAGCTCTGACACTGCACACAGGGATCTGTTGCGAGCACCACACACTTTTCTCCTTTTCCCCTTTGCTCCCACCCCAAGTCTCAGATGCAGAATGGTTTTGACCTTTTTTTTCTCTGATATTTGTGAGTCTGATATCACCCAAGCCTATGTCTGTGCCATGATTTAAACTTACAGAAGCTTCAAAACAAGTTCTCTTTCATAAACTGAAATAAAGGTATGCTTACCTGAGTGGGCACCCTGCAGAAGTGCTCTGTGGATGGCTGGAGGAAGTCAAAGAGCAGGAAACCGTTACAGTTACTTCCAGTAACTGGAAGCTGGAGTGAATGGTCAAGTATTTAACCCTGTCTGTACCAATGAGTCCTTGTATGATCATGTACTTAATTGCACTTGAATTATTTTAACTCTTATGTTACTTTAAGTTACTTTACAAACTTCTGTTCCTTAAATACACACAGTATTTAACAAGTAGCAGCCTCCTTCAGGAAGAAAGATAATTTAGGATGAATAAGGTAATCCACCTGGAAACTGGTGAGGCAGTTGGAGCAGAGTGGGAATGAACAGAGTGCAGGAGAAGTCAAGTGCCGGGAAAGTTTTTGGCATCAAAAGAGACAGGTGAGGGAATGAGTTGGATGTGGCCCTGGAACTGAAGAAACTGGAACTGCTGAGAGGGAAGCAGTAACTGGAGATACGTGGTAAGACAAGAAAAAAGGAATCCACAGGCTGAATAAGTTTGCTCCTCAAGGCAAGTTAGGCTGACTTGAGCTTTGCCGCTGCGAGTCCCTGCGGTCTGTCTGTCCTGCTCATAGCTGCTGCTTCCTGCACTCTGCTGCCAGGGGAACCACCTCCACTCCTGAATGAGGTTTAAATCAACTCAGTTTAGATATTCTGACTGTTCCCTGGGGCCTGCCAGTGGCAGAAAATCTAGTTTTCTGGGTTATCTAGGTAGCTAGTGTGTTCATGTAATTCTGATTTTTCTTTTCCCCAGCTGAGTTCTGATATTTTCAGTTGATAGTATATAAACCTCTCAAATTTAATTTTGGCATTAAGAACAACTTGTAGGTAAATCTGGATTTAATATGTAGCTAGTGACAAGCACTGTGAGGCTCTTGAGTACTTATACTTGCTGTAGGTTAGCAAATTCTAATAAAATGAAGGTACAGTTGTGCAAATATTTTATTCACTTGTTTCATTTTGTACTTGATAGCACTTCTCTGGAAGATGCCATCAAGAATGGCACTAACCATTTTGAAAAACTGATATATTAATAATTAAGCAGTTTGGATAAGTGTATAAAATAAATATTAAAGTAAATCAATTTTTATAAAACTGTGTTCTCAAGTAGCATTTCCTGCTGATGAAGAAGTGGAAAAAATAGTAACACTGTGAGGTCACTCCCATAATTTAATAATTATCATTAACTTCTGTCTTATGTCTGACAGAGGTTTTGTAGTTTTCCTTTTGAAAAGGGGACAGATAAATCTGGAACTGACACAAAAATTCAGTAAGTCATAAAAGAGTCTGTGTCCACATTACTGAGCAGAGTGGTGTAATAAGATCAGATTGGTCAGGTGCTGAGAACCTGGCATAAGTGCCATACAGGTGGTGGGAGTTTTATTTCAAGCTGGTCCTGGTCCGATTCTGTGGCTGAATTCCTCTTGGTGGTTGGAGCGTGTACAATGCACACCTGAAGCTCATTCTCTGATCTGATTTTATTCAAAAGAAATCTGGTTCATGTACTTGATGACTGCTTTGCAATGTAAAGCAAAGTAAGGAAAATAGGGTTGTTTGGGAGATGGACTTCAAAAATGCAGTCCTGATTTGAATTAAATGCTAATATAGACATACCTAGAGTTGTACAGATGAGGAAGTTCACCAGATTAAAGTTTTTTAGTAAGAGAGCTTAGATATCTGATCCATGGGCTTGGAATCAGGAAAGGTAATGAATACTTAGAGAATTGAACAGTTACTTCATCAGTTTGGGATTTTGGAAAAATATAAGGAGGACGTGGTTTTAAAAACAAAACATTGCATTGTTCAGATATGTCTTTACTCTTGTAAAGCAACCACTTTAAGTAATATGGAGGGGACTTTATACAAATCAGGTACTAGATACAGGGATATTGGACGTGTTGTAAAAACAGAAAGCACAACTTTTTTTTTGTTGTTCTTTTGGAGTCCATCAGAAGATGAGGTCCTTGGTTAGAGAGAGGAGAAGATATAGGTATATTTTACAGATTCTTTATTTAAAAAAGCAAAAACAATCTCGACACAGTTGCATGGCTAGAATTTTTTTTTTTTTCCACTTTTACCATGGAAGAAATAAGTCAAGTGTCAGCTTGTCTGCTCAGAGGAGACAGTTGTCTTTAAGAATTGGTGCTATCTGATATTCTGGATGGTTTTGGGTTACCATTTAGCACAAATTTATTATTTATTACCAAGACTATTAAACCTCACTGTATGAGGAGCAGTGCTTGTAAATGGATGTGGAGACAGAAGTATTCTGACCTTCTTGTAATGGAAAGGTCTTTATGCTGCTTAGGAAGGAAAAGAGAAGGAGAGTGGATGCTGAAACTCTCTGCTGGAAATCATACACATGATTTTGATATTCAAAATTCATTCTATCTCTACACTGTATGAGTGGTTGTATGTTATTTAACAGTACATCTGGAATGGTGGTGTTCAAGCCTTTGTGTGATTTTCAAGGTTATGATCCCAGTCATAGGACTGGCACTTCTGAATGGTAAAATTCTTGTAGGATCTTCTTAAAAGCTTCAGATGATGGAAACATTCAGAAATTATGACACTGATAAAATGGGAAAAGTTGGCAATAGGTGGCAGCTGCTCACTGTGGAATCAAACTAACAAAGCTGGTAAGCCCATCTTAGCTATCAACAATGCATCTGAAAATGCTGGGACTTGACTCAAGTCAGGCTGGCTCACCATCCTTAAGAGAACTGGCGAAGAGCCTGTGCCAGGCTTTCCTCTGATGCTGGGATGTACAGCAGTTTAAAAACACAAACCAAAAATCAAACCCACTTGACTGCCAGTACCTTTGTCTAAATTCTTGGCTTGCTTTTCAGTTCCCAGGAGTAATCAGGCTTGTGCACAGCTACAAAAAACCTTTCCATTATTTCTCTCTATATTGCAGTTTCTGGTGTACTGGAACTAATGGTGTGACACCAGTAGATATTTGGTGTGGAGCTGCAGTCTTAGAGATTCTCTGGTGTTTATTATAAAGATTGAATTGTGCATGGCTTGTTTTTTCTATTGGTGTCACCAACAATGTATCCTTTCCTTGGACATTAGGAAGAAGTTCTTCATTGAAAGGGTGATTGGGCATTGGAATGCACTGCCCATGGAGGTGGTGGAGTCACTGTGCCTGGAAGTGTTTTAAGAAAAGACTGGAAGTGGCACTCAGTGCCATGGTCTAGTTGACAAGGTGGTGTTAGGTCATAGATTGGACTCAATGATCTCAAAGATAGTTTCCAACAAAGGATAGAAATGTTTTTGTTGGTTCATTTTTAATATGATCAATTACTGATAACAGTAAAATTATTTTTAAATTATTTTTGTGTCAGTGTTTTACAAATATGCTGTAACTGTGCAGCTATTGGATATGCATTACTCTTAGGAAGTTTCTAGCTGGGAGCAGCTCATCATAGGAGATGGTTTCTGTAATTCCAGATACGAGTATCTGCAATGTGCAGTTCATATTCTAGACCATAAACCATCAACACAGTTTCTTCAGCCATCTCTTTAATCAAATCCTCTTTTTATTTTGCAGATCAGTAGAAATATGCATTTCCATAATACCACATTTGAACTAATGAAGTGGAAGTACAGATGAAAACAGTCTGGAGGAAGCTTGAAGTACAATACAGTTTCATTCAGCTTCCTAATTCGGAGGTAAGGTTAACGCATGCAAAATTTTATTTTGAGTACTTCAGGGATAAAAAGCATATGATAAGCAGCCACCATATCTTATAAAAAATTTCAGAGCCACCTTTTTTATGCTAGTGACAGTCTTTCATACCATATTAAAATAGCTGTTTGATCTAATCTCTGTCTGTATCTTAGTTATGAAAAAAGACAACTCAGCCTCAACTACAGAGGCATCTGTTGTACAAAGGCACTTTGGAAAAGAGTTATGGTATCAGGCAAATTTTGGTTGGTAGAATCTGCTTAGTCATGAACACTACTAATGCTTTACTTGGTTATTGATTTAGTCTGTTATTTTTCTGATATGACTGGGAAAAAGCTTTACACAGTGTCAAGTGGCAGGGCATAAGCATAAGTAGATGGGTTGAAAACTGGACACAATACTGTTTTAAAAAGGGAAGCATAAAACACACACCCCCAGCCACCTTCACAAGTTACTTTTCCTGCCTTCTAGTTCACTGTCTTTTTAAAGATGAGTAGTATTAGAAGCAGTTGAGGGAGGGAGGTTGTTTTTTGCTTTCCCTGTATGCAAATAGCTGTTCTGGCAAAAAATAAAATGGCAACACCACTCCACCACAAAATTTCTCTATCTTCACACAGTTGGTTCTCTTTTTACTAGGGATTATTTGCTTCTAAGTCCACAAACACACAAATGGCAACAGGGGAGCTTATCAGAACCAAATAAAAGCAAGTCCTTGTGCTAATTATTCCTGCTCCTATGTACTGCCTCTTGTTTTCATACCTTTTATGCCTGAATTTCAATAGCAAAGGGATAAAGACAAAGAAAAAATTTGATCATGAATGCCAAAAGAGGGCAGTACTATAAATACCAGATGTGAGCAGGGTACATTGCCCAGGTGTTGATCAGACATTTTATGTGCTTCCTGAGTGAGAGATCAGCAGTATTGTATTTCATTGCCTGACCTGCTTTTAGGTATGTCTTTGAGCCCATTTATGAGTTTGGACACCTACAAAAAACAGTGAAGGTGAGTGTTTTAGTTTTAAATATTTGTTATGTACAAAAGGTGTCTTTTGTTTGCACCTAAAACTGCTCCTAATTGGTTTACAGAGATTGTTAGCTCCTGATTGGTTTACAGAGAGAAATTTTGATTAAATCTATTTGGTTGTCTCTTCTATTTTAGGGTTCAGTGAAGAGTATCAAATGTCTGACAGTTCTCAAGATAGTTTATTTTATCTTTCTTTAATATGGGATCTCTGTAATAAAACCCTTCATTGTGCTAATTCTAATTCTACTTTATTTTATGATTCAGTGTAAGATTTTCTTACCTCTGACTTAGTAGGGTGAATAGCTCTGTTTTAATAACACCTGTGAATTTGTGCATTTCTAATGCAATGCAGCTAGAGAAATTCTGATTAGTATATTGAATGTAATCAGTAGCTCAATTCCCTCCTGCAACTGGTGTCCCATATAATGTTGTCTCTTTAGTTAATAGAAAGATTCTAGTTGTATGATTGCTTTATTTTTTTGGGATGTTGAAAACTGGACTTGGATGACTTCCCAGCACCACCCTTAATGTCAAATACTCCCATAGTTTGCCTTGCCTGCAGCAAGGCACGAGTTAGAAGGACGTTGAAGACCTCTAACATACAACTGCTGAACCAGTAACTTTAGTTGACAGTTTAGGAATAACTTCCTACTTTTCAGCTTCTACTGTCCATAGAGTTGTCACCTTCCTGTGTCCTCCAAACCAGTAGTGGTAGGAGCATCTTTTATGTGATGGAGCTCGTTCATTCAATAGCCAGAAACACATACCAGGTGCTTCAGAATGAAGGGTGCCAGTGATGAAATGGTATTCCTGCAATGATTTTCTCATTAATCATCAAGGCTACCTAAGATCCTCACTGTTCTGTTAGGCAACAATTATTTTATAAGGTTGGGTTAGCTGCCATTGAATTTCCTTGGTGGCAAACTATTTGCTAGGAGTTAATTCCATAACAAACAGGCTGAGCCACTTGAGGCTCAAACCACAAATGGGAAATACAGGTCAGTGTGCTCAAAGCATTTTCCAGGAGTGGAGGAACCAGACATCCGTGTCATCTTGTGAATCAGTTGATCAAAACAGGAAGTGCCAGTGGTTCCACTCTGGGGCTGCTCTGTTCTGCAGTGTCCTCCTAACAGGACTTTTCTTACTGCCATTGCCCCTAGCTTGTCCCAGCTTGTTCCAGTAGTCTCATCATCTTGATCTCAGACCACACAAAACAAGAGCCTTCCTATTGCTAGGTCAAGACTGTCGGGCTCAGCAAGGTCAGATTAAGCTGCTGAGAGTCCCTTTGTTTTTATGTTGGCTCTGTTTGGCTCAGGAGCTCCTTTTGAAAGTATCAAGATTTCAAAAAAATCTAGACAAGTTCCTGTGTAGTAAAAGGAAGCTAAATTTTGTATTTTATTTCTGTATCTGAGGATGGGAATTTTATGGGGTAGGATAGAGAGCAACTTAAGATCATATAGTGAGAAAAGCTACAAGGAATGCATTTGCACTGCAGTCTGAAGATGTTTGTATTGATAGGAGTATATTTTGCAACCAGATTATTGTAACATGGATATGTCATTAGAAACATACCAGGTTGCCTTTTTGCTTATTTTCTATTTAGTGTTTAGATTAGGAATAGTAAAATGTGGGTTTCAACTGAACATTAATACAGGGATTAATTTTGCTTTCAAGAATTATTTTCTATCCTTTTTCCCCTTGAGCCAAAACAAAGCAGAAAAATGTTTCTTTCTGATGGTAGTATTTTGAAGCAGTCCTAAGTAGTTAGTTGTGGAGTAGGTTCCTCTAAACTAGGTTGAAAAGTCAAGAATATCCTTTTCCAGAGGTTCTGAGGTTGTAAAGATAAAGTAAGTTTCATGAAATGTTAGGTGAAGTGTTTCTAAAGTGTTGCAGTTGATACAGAATTTAATTAGAATAATTTTAGGGGTCAATTTCAAATGTATTTTAAAATAGTAAATATTAAAATAATAGGCAGCTACTTGTTAGCTTAACAAAATCTAAGACTGATTTAGATCTTTTTCGAATATTCTTAATGTCTATAAAGACACTGTGATAGAAACATTCTAATTTTCTTATTTCTAAACCAGATATATGTACCATCCTTTAAAAAAATTACTTGTGTGCCGTAGTCAAATCTATGTAAAGAAAGGATATTTTTATCATGTCCTTAAAATATGTTTTGAGTTTACAGTACAGGAATTTCAGGATATCGTGAATAAAAATCTGAATCTGTTTAGAGTAACGGTAGAGAGGTCAGTAGTTACGTCTTTTAGGAGAATTTCCACGGTGTAGATGTGCAGAGGGGTTCCCAAATGGCTACACTTCGCCAGGCTTCAAACACATTTTGTTGTTCTAAGATCTGAAATTCCTGTTCTCGTTCAGACATGCTCATTCAAGTTGCTGGTGTTTGAAAAACAATTATTTGTTTCAGTTGGCAGGTAAAGCATATGAAAGTTTTTACAGAAACAGTTCAGTCCTAGGCTTTCAGTGGGATGAAAGTGAAGTGATAAGGGGTATGCCTGTGCAGAGGAGAGTCCCTGCAGTCTTTGAGAAGGCAGTGTATGAAAAGAGGGATATTTATACAGGTGTCTTGAAGTTCCATGCCCTTTGAGTTGTTTTGGAATTTGCAAATGTACATTTGCAATCTGCTCGGTTTCCCCTCCCCTCAGTAAATTTCATGTTTGGTGATACAACCAATCTCTGAATTAATAAGACTTTTTTAATGGGCAAAGGGAAAAGAAGTTTGCTTTACTGGTCTTTAAAATTTGCACAGGCACCCACCAAAGCCACTCTATTACTCCCCTCTGCATGGGTGGAGATGAAGACCAGGAGAGGTCAGTCACTGATTACCATCACAGGCAAAACAGACTCAGTTTGGGGATATTAATTGAATGTCTTACTAACAAAATCAGAGCTGGGCAAGAAGTAGAAATCTTAAAAACACCTTATTCCTACTCCTCCCTCCTTCCTGGGCTCTACCTCCCCTCTCCAGCAGTGAAGGGAAGTGGGGAAATGGGCCTTATGGTCAGTTCATCACAGGTTCCTGCTGCTGCTGCTTAGGGAGGAGAGTTCCTTCCCTTCTGCACAGACTGCTGCAGCTTGGGTCAATTCTCTGGGGTGCAGTCCTTCAGGCACAGCCTGTGGTGATGGGAGTCCTCCATGGGGTCACAAGTCCTACCAGGAAACCTACAGTGTGCATGTCCCTGCCAGGACCCTCTCCAGCCCAGGTTTCCTGTGGGTTCACAGACATCCATGCTCTGGTGTGGGCTCCTCCATGGGCTGCAGGTGGATCTCTGCATCCCCATGGTCCTCCACGGGCTGCAGGGGCACAGCTGCCTCACCATGGTGTACCACAGGCTGCAGAGGAATCTTCTCTGGCACCTGGAGCACCTCCTGCCCCTCCTTCTGCACTGACCTTGGTGTCTGCAGAGTTGTTTCTCTCACATATTCTCACTCCTCTCTTCTCTGGCCACAGGAACATCTGTGCAATAAATTGTTTTCATTCTTGAATATGTTATCTTAGCGGCATTGTTATCATTCCTGGTGGGCTCGGCCTTGGTCAGCAGTGGGTCCATCCTGGAGCCAGCTGGCATTGGCTGGACAAGCTTCTGGCAGCTTCTCACAGAAGCCACCCCTTTAGTCCCCTGCTACCAAAGCCTGGTCACACTGACCCAATAAATTACTGCAGTCTTTCATATGCTGGTTTGGTTTCAGTACGGTTCTTAACTCAAATGTGTGAAAAATCTCAAAAGAAAAAAAAGGAAATGGAAAAATACTTAGGATGTGGTAGAGGATTACAAGATACTATATAGTGCTTAATAGAGAAGGTTCAATAATGAGGCTTTTCTGTCCCCTTTCTCTCTGCCAAAAATAATTCTGTATTCTCTTCAACTAGCAACAAAAATTGTTTCCCGTTATGGAATCTGTGGTTTTCCTGTAACCTCAATTTTTCCTTCACAG